GCAGCAGCAGAACCATGTCTGCGCCGAAGCCTGTCTCCTGCTGCTGCAGCAAGCAGCTTCTGTGCTTCTGCTCCAAATTCGCACGGCAGCAGCAGCAGCAGCTGCTGCAGCAGCAGCCGCGCCTGCTGCAGCTGACCCCCAAAGGCAGCACGCTGCCGCCGCATCGCCAGCAGCAAACCGTGCAGCAGAGCCAGGAGGTTCTGCGCGGCAGCAGCAGAAAGCCGCGGCTGCTGCTGCTGCTGCTGCTGCAGCTGCTGCTGCTGTTGCTGCGCGTGCTGTCGTTGCTGCTGCTGTTGCTGCTGCTGCACCAGCAAGGAAGCTTCTGCACTTGGTGCGGCGGCAGAGGTCTCTGTTAAGGGAGCTGCCTCAGCAGCAGCAGCTGCTGCTTCTGTGCCTGCTGCCGCTGCAGTTGCTGTTTCTGCTGCTGGCTCGGCTGCTGCTGCTGCTGCTGTTGCTGCTGCTGCTGCTGCACCCGCCTCATAGGAGTGCAACGCACAGGGAGGCAGCAAACGAACAGCAGCAAGAACCCCTGCGGGTGTATACGAAGCTGGCCCGTGCTGCAGTGCCTTTGAGAGTACCTCTGCGCAGGAGCACTGCTGCTGCTGCTGCTGCTGCTGCTGCTGCTGCTGCTGCTGCTGCTGCTGCTGCTGCTGCTGCTGCTGCTGAGGCGTTTGCTGCAGCTGCTGTGGGAGGTGAGGTGCGGAAGTCTGGGAAAGAGTCTGCTGCTCTTCGCCTATCGGCGTCTGCTGCTCCGCTTGCTGCTGCTGCTCCTGCAGCTCTGGCTGCTGCTGCTGCTGCTGCTTCTCTTGGAGTTGGGCCTCCTCATGTTGACCTTCAGAAATAAAACTGGTGGCCATTCGTTCTTGCTGCTGCTGCTGCTGCTGCTGCTGCTGCTGCTCTTGCTGCTGTGGCGGCGTCTGCTGTCCCGCTAGCTCGCCCAGTATAGCCCACCGGAGTTGTAGAAGTGTCTGCTGCTGCTGCTGCTGCGCTTGTCGCTGCTGCTGCTGCTGCTGCAGATTCTTCATTGTTTGCTGCTCCTCCATTGTCAAGCGTGAGTCCCAGGAGCAGCTGCTGCTGTGGCTCTTGCTGCCGCTGCTGCCGCTGCTGCTGCAGCAGCAGCTGCTGCTGCTGTATCTTGCCGCTGCAGTTGCTATGAAGCGCTGCTGCAGTTCCTTGTGTCAAAGGGTTAGCCGGGTATCTGAAGCATGGAGCGTGGCTCCGCTGCTGCTGCTGCTGCTGCTGCTGCTGCTGCTGCTGAGGCCGCCTCGGTGTCTGTCGCGCTGCTGCAGCTGCTGCTGCTGTTCGCCGCAGCAGCAGCCTGCAGGCCAGCAGCAGCAAATTGTAGTAAACGGAAGGCAGCAGAAGGAGAGCTGGGGCTTTAAGGTGCAGCAGAAGACAGCTCGCTAGCTCGACGGCCTCCTCAGTGTCTCTCCCGCTGCTGCTGCTGGCGTTGCTGCTGCTGCTGCTGCTGCTGCTGTTGCTGGTTTGCTGCTCCCTTCCCGTGAACAATCGAAAAACAATAAACAAAATGGTGTGAAGTCGCAGCAGCAGCAGCAGCAGCAGCAGCAGCTCAGTCGCGGCGGCCAGTTTGAGTTGCGGCCAGCAGGCGGGAGGGACAGGACTGTTGCTGCTGCTGCCGCTGCTGCTGCTGCTGCTGCTGCATGTCCTTCTTTGCCTCCCTCTTGCACTAAATGACACAATAAGTTCAAACCCTTTTTTGGAGTTTAAGGGAGTTCTCTAAGTGGCAGCAGGTGAGGCAACGAGCAGCAGCAGCCCCACGCAGTGAGGCCCTGCAAGAGCAGCAGCAGCAGCGGCTGCTGCTGCTGCTGCTGCTGCTGCTGATTTGCTTGAACAACCGGCTCTTTAAAAGCCTTGTGCGATCTTATTTGCTTTCTTTGCTGCCAATGCGGCCGAGGCTGCTGCCTACACTGTTCAAGGACCAGCTGCTGCTGCTTTGGCTTGTCGCTTCTTCAGATTGACTGTTGCTGCTGCTGCTGCTGCTGCTGCTGCGCTGCTGCAACAGCGGCCAGATCTGCTGCAAACGGCGTTTTCTTATCTGCAGCAGCAGCTTTGGTGGGAGCCCCGGAGGAGACAGCGGGGAATTGCTGCTGCTGCTTCCTCCGTCCCCCTTGTGCGCACTGCTGCTGCTGCTGCTGCTGCAGCTGCTGCTGCTGCTGCTGCAGCAAAACAGCCCTTCTGGCTGCGGGCTTCAGCTGTACGGAAGGGCCCCACTGTTCCAGAGATATCTCTGCCCCAGCAATCTTGGGGCCTCCAAACCCTAGGCCTCGGCCACCAAACCCTAAACCCTAAACCCTAAACCCTCGGCGTGAACTCAACGACGGCTCAGTCAGCATTTGCTGCAATGAGAGGGAGGGTAGACGACAGCAGCAGCAGCAGCAGCAGCAGCAGGGGACCTGGGAGCATCGGCTGCTGCTGCCTCCGGCGCTGCCGCCGCTGCAGCAGCAGCAGCAGCAGGGGGCAAGCTGCATGCAGCAACTCGCTGCAGCACCCACCGTAAGGGCAGCTGCTTTTCACGCAGCAGCAGCAGCAGCAGCAGCAGCAGCAGAGGTAGCTGCTGTTGCTGGTCTTGCAGCAGCAGCAGTCCGCATAGCAGCTGTTACCGGCGCTGCAGCAGCAGCAGCAAGCGCATCTGCTGTTGCAAGTACTGCTGCAGCAGAAGCAGCTGTTCCTCCTGGTTGCGCAGCAGCGGGTGAGCTGCTGCTGCTGTTGCTGCAGCAGCAACGGGCTAGCTGCTGCTGCTGTTGCTGCTGCTGCAGCAGCAGCGCACAAACTAAGTGCTGCTTCTTCCTACAGTCCACATGACGCCGCCTGCAGCTGACCGCCGGTCCGTACCGTAAGTGGGAACTGCTGCTGCTGCCGTTGCTGCTGCTGCTGCTGCTGCCGTTGCTGCTGCTGCTGCTGCTGCTGCTGCTGCTGCCGTTGCTGCTGCTGCTGCTGCTGCAGTTGTGCCTGGATCTTTGGCAGCAGCTGCTTGCTGTCGCCTGTGTCTCAGAGGGCCTCCGAGCAGCGACTCCCGCGGGGACTCTGTAGCTGGGGGCGGGGGGCCCCCGGGGGGCCCCCCTGGGGGGCCCCATGGGGGGCCCCATGGGGGGCCCCATGGGGGGCCCCCCGGGGGCCCCCCGAGGCCCTCCACCGCCAGCAGCCGCCACGTCAGCTCGGCCTTTGCCAGGGGCCCCCAGGGGGCCCCCGGGCTCAGCGAAAGCTGGACCCCTTGTGGGGGCCCCCAGTGGGGGGCCCCCGGGGAAGGGGGTACCCTGCGGTGGCGGGGGGGCCCCCCTGGGGGGGCCCCCCACCACCTGGGGGGGGGCCCCCTGGGGGGCCCCCTGGGGGGCCCCCTGGGGGGCCCCCACGCGGGCATTGAGCGGGACGGAGGGTACTACGCAGAAACAGTCAACCACATGATTGATGAATGCACAGATGCAGCAGAAGGGGGGGGCCCCCGGGGCCCCTCGGAAACAGACCCTTTGGGGCTGCTGCAGGAGGACAGGGAGTTGCTGCTGCTGCGGGGCGCGCAGCAGGGGGGCCCCCTGGGGGCCCCCGGGGCCCCCGGGGCCCCGGGGGCCCCCGGGGCCCCCGGGGGCCTCGGGGGCTCTGGCGAGGGCAGTGCCCTCACGGGTTTTGGCCCGCTGCCCCACGAGCAGGGGACCCCGTTTGCTGCTGCTGCTGCTGCTGCTGCTGCTGCTGCTGCGCAGCTGGGCGGGGGCGCAGCGGCCGAGCGCCACTCGCTCGTGGCGGTGCTGCCGCTGGCGCAGCAGCAGCACGCGGGGCAGCAGCAGCAGCAGCAGCAGCAGCAGCAGCTGCTGGGGCGGGTGTCCTTTGGCCACCAAGACTCTGTGTCTTCCTCGGGGGCCTCCCGAGACTCTGCTGACGCAGCAGCAGCAGCAGCAGCAGCAGCAGCAGCAGCAGCAGCAGAGGGCCCCTCTTACGGCCGCCGCTCCAGCTCCAGTGCCGGCAGTGCCCACTTGCTGCTGGGCCAGCGGCCCAGCCGCTACATTTCTGCTGCAGGGGGGCCCCCCTTGGGGGCCCCCCAGGGGGGGGCCCCCCGGGAAGAAGAAAGTGAAAACTGGGCCCTTGGGGAAAAGGGGCCCTTTGGCCAGAGGGCCCGTCTTAGAAGACATGTCATTATTAGAATCCACAAGGGCATGCACCAGATCCTGGAGCTGCAGGTCTGCTGCTGCTGCTGCTGCTGCTGCTGCTGTTCTGCTGCTGCTGCTTTGCTGCTGCTGTTTTGCTGCTGCTGTATTGCTGCTGCTGTTTTGCTGCTGCTGTATTCCTGCTGCTGTATTGCTGCTGCTGTATTGCTGCTGCTGTATTGCTGCTGCTGTATTGCTGCTGCTGTATTGCTGCTGCTGTATTGCTGCTGCAGTTCTGCTGCTGCTGCAGTTCTGCTGCTGCTGCAGCTCTGCTGCTGCTGCAGCTCTGCTGCTGCTGCAGCTCTGCTGCTGCTGCAGTTCTGCTGCTGCTGCTTGTGCTGCTGCTGCTGCAGGTGGCGGAAGTGCTGCGTCTGCTGCAGGCGGAGTGTATGGACAGCACTCGCTCCCGCGCCTGCGTGCTGACTTACCGCGACTGCCGGCAGGCCTTCACTGATGTTCATCCGATTCCTTCAATTGAGATTAGAAGACATGTAATTTTAATTTGTTTGCCTCCAATAACTTGTTTTGTTTTGAAGGACTCAGTCTATTTGCTGGTCACTGAGGACTTGAAGCCCGACGAACTCATCTTCCAGCTCTGCAGACTCAGCAGGTACTACGCCCTCCACCAGCAGCAGCAGCAGCAGCAGCAGCAGCAGCAGCAGCAGCAGCAGCAGCAGCAGCAGCGGGAGCGGGAGCAGCAGCAGGCCGCGGGAGAGCTGCGCGCGCACGCGCTCGAACGCAACGACGAATTCGAGACGCTGCCCTTCAAACAGCCGCCGCTGCTGCAGCAGCAGCAGCAGCAGCAGCTGCTGCTGCAGCAGCAGCGCCCGCAGCAGCAGGTCTCCCCGGAAACTGCTGCTTCCGAGCACGCCTCCACCGGACACCGAAACGGCGCTGCTCCTCCAGCAGCAGCAGCAGCAGCAGCAGCAGCAGCAGCAACGCAGGGGCCCCCACGCCCGACCCCCGAGGGGGCCCCCCGGGGCCCCCTGCCCCCGGGGCCCCTGCCCGGCTCGCGGGGGGGGCCCCCACTCAGCCCCGCAGCAGGGGCCCCGGGCGGGGGGGCCCCCGCCAGGGCCCCCCTGGGGGGCCCCCCAGTCAACTTGCCCCCAGGCTTCTCCCGAGAGGGCCCCCCGGGGGCCCCCAGGGCCCACCCAGATGACTATGGGGCCCCCGGCGGGGGCCACGGGAGGGTACAGGGGCCCCACGGAGATGCTCTGAGCCCGTGGAACGGGGTTCCCCAGGAGGGCCCCCACGGGGCCCCTCACGGGGGCCCCCAGGGGGGCCCTCACGGGGGCCCCCACGGGGGCTCCCACGGGGGCCTCCATTGGTTCCCCCACATGGGCTCTCACGGGGGCCCCCACGGAGGCCCCCACGTGGGCCCTCATGGGGGCCCCCATGGGGGCCCCCCCGGGGGACCCAGTGGAGCGCCCAACGGGGGGCCCCATGGGGGCCCCCATGGGGGCCCCCATGGGGGCCCCCACGGGGGGCCCCCAGGGGGCCCCAATGGGGGGCCCCCCGGGGGGCCCCCCGGGGGGCCCCCGGGGGGGCCCCAAGACTCCGGAGGGGAGGGCGAGGGAGAGGCGGGGCTGCTGTCGCGTTCTTGCTGCTCTGTGGGCAGCAGCAACAGCCACAAACTGCCTTTTGAGTTTGCTGCTCTTGAGTGCATCTTTTTTGCTGCTTTTCAGCAGCTAAATGCAGGTGGGGCTGCCTTTTGCTGCTGCTGCAGTTGCTGCTGCTTGCTGCAGCCGCTGCTGCAGTTGCTGCTGCCCGTGTCTCTTTTCCATTTTGCTGCTGCTCTTTTGCTCCTTTCCTCTTTGTGGCTTTGTACTGGCTCTAGCTGCTGCTGCTGCTGCTGCTGCTGCTGCACTGGAGTGACCCCGACCTCAGCACCCCGAACGCGCCCCAAACCCCAAACCCTAAACCCTAAACCCTAAACCCTAGGGCCTGCGTTTGCTGCTGCAGACATTCTTTACCTGGAAGGCAAATACGGAGAGGCCCAACACAGGACCCGCACTAAAGGAGAACTTTTGTCTCTTTTGATGGAAGACCTCCACGCGCTGAAAGAGCCCATTTCCCTTTACCAAGTAACCCTAAACCCTAAACCCTAAACCCTAAACCCTAAACCCTAGCTCGCGGCGCCAGCGTGCGCGTGAGCGCCCCGCAGCCCCCAGAGAGGCCCTCGCTGGGGACTTCGGGGCCCCGGGGGCCCCTTGGCGGAGAGCCGCTGCAGTTGAGGGTCTAGGGTTTAGGGTTTAGGGTTTAGGGTTTAGGGTTTGGGGTTTGTTGGCCTGCGAAGGACCGAGTTGACGCGTTTGATAAGGCCTTTGATGAGCTCATCAGCAACAACACTTATCTCCAAAGAATGGAACTTTCCAAATACGCCAAATACCCCAATCTGTACGACGAGCCCACCGACAAGGCAAGCCCCAAACCCTAAACCCTAAACCCTAAACCCTGATTCGGGGTTTGCACACTGGGCGGCTGCGGACGCCCGCTGGGGCGCCAGGGGTTTTTTCACCACAGAGCACTGGCCCTTTAGTGCTGCTGCTGCAGTGCTGCTGCTGCAGTGCTGCTGCTGCAGCGCTGCTGCTGCAGCGCTGCAGCAGCAAATTGCTGCGTTAGAGGCTCTTGCTGCACCACACAGAAGGGTTCAGGCCTGCATCGTTGCTGGCTGTTGATTTGCTGCTGCTGCTGCTGCTGCTGCTGCTGCTGCCGCGATGCAGGAGGCGGTTAATCCAGATCTTGAGATTCTCCTCGAGTATTTCGACCAAGAAATTGACCAGGCAAGGCCCTAGCGGCGGGAGGGTTTAGGGTTTAGGGTTTAGGGTTTAGGGTTTAGGGTTTAGGGTTTAGGGTTTGGGGCGTAGGAGCCGGCGTCTGAGCATCAGCCGTCGACGCCCGACTGCCATACAGTGCTGCGGGTATTGCAGTGCACGCTGCAGGTTGAGGGTTTAGGATGTAGGGTTTAGGGTTTAGGGTTTAGGGTTTAGGGTTTAGGGTTTAGGGTTTAGGGTTTGTGTGCAGTTCAAGATCCGCGTGCGTCACCTGAAGGGCTCCATAGAAGACAGCGAGCGGCTGCTGACTCTGCGTTTGGCTGTAATGCGAAACTCTTTAATTAAATCTGAATTAGCTGCCACTTTGTTGGCTGCGGGACTGGCTGTGGGCACTTCCATTTCAGGCACGCCCCAAACCCTAAACCCTAAACCCTAAACCCTAGTGGCCCTGGGGCGGGCAGTGCGCAGGACGGCCTCTCCGCGGCCGCGGGGCCTTTGCAGCAGCAGCAGCAGCAGCAGCAGCCTGGACTTGCCTGGGCGTCGCGCTGCAACGCTTCGCTCGAGGGTTTAGG